ATTACTTTCATCATCCTCAAAATCTTCATCATTTTTAGCTTATTTAACCATTTCCAATTATGGTGTAGACTCCCATACATACTCTCTTTGTAGTTGGGCCCATTGTTGTCTATTTTTGGCTATGCGGACCCAAGTTATCCCTGCTGATTTCCTAATATCCTGGTCCCATCTCAGGTTCGGTCTTCTTCTAGGTCTCTTAATTGGTCCATCTGTTACCGGTTCTTCTTGCCAGGTGTCCTATCCATTGTCATTTGAGGGACTTGATTCTTTGGATGACATCTATTACCTGGATCTTTTGTCGTATCCAGTCAATCCTTTTACGGTCTGTCTTGGTTATCCCCAGCATATTTGGTTCAATTGAACGTTGTGCGACCCTCAGTTTCCTTATAATGTCCGATTTAAATGTCCAGGTTTCACATGCATAGGTCATAACTGGTAGTACCTACATATTGGTCGAATGTTTTCTTCTTTAGATAGAGTGGTATTCTACATTTGAGTATTATTGATTTATTTCTGCCATAAGTACTAATTTAATTCTTCTGTTGATTTCTGGTAATAGAGCTCCCGAGCTTTGTATTAGTTGTCCCAAATATACCGGGTGTTGCATCGTCGGACGGGACATAGGAAATCCCATGTAAATTTTAATGGGGTCAATTATTGGCTTCCCTAATTATTTTAGAGAATAATTCTATTTAGGTTTATTGAAGAGCACTAAAACAAAAGAATAACTTTAGATATTTTTGATTAGCTCGTTTACGAGTTATCGCCCGATTTCTTTTTAAATATTTCTCCTTTCTTATGGCCCTGTATTTACATATGAGCACCAGTCAAGGTAAAAGATAACTGTCAAATGAAGTTGTCATTTCAGAAATTTACCTATTTATTGCTTTATTATTATTGAAAATTCATTCCTACATCGGAAATCCTAAAGATGTATTTATAAATACAAATTAATATGAATTAAAGTAAAATAAAGTAATCAATTACAAGGTTAATTATAGTATTATTACAATATTCAATAACTTATTAATTTAGGTACTATTAAATTGTTAGAACTTTAGGATTTAAGAAAATGTTCAAATATTCCTCCATCGACTGCTAGACAATAACCCAGGCGAGCATAAAATCCTCTTCTTACATTCGCTAGTTGGTAAACTGAAATTCTATTGCATTCGGCAGAAATAGCATTTTTTAACTCGTCTAGATTTGGGTATTTTTTATCCTTGTATATCCTGTTTTTTAAATGGCCCCAGAGAAAGAAATCATTTGGCGAAATATCAGGAGACCGTGCTGGCCAATTTACTGTATGATTTAGGCCAATAATGTTTCCGTTAAAACTATTGTCTAAATATTCCCGAACAGCCAGGGTACTATGTGCCAGGCAGCCATCCATTTGGTACCAAACTTCCTGATTTTCCCTAGCGACATCATGTAGAGCAGGTGAAATATGATTTTCGAGTAGTTCCAAATAATATTCTGCATTTAAATTTCGCGTAAGAAATAATGGCCCGATAATATCGTGTCCGAATATCCCTGCCCAAACATTTACTTTCTGTGGATATTGCGTCTTTGTTTCGACAAACCTGTGTTGGTTTTCTTTGTTTCAATATCGATAATTTTGAACATTGGGTTCATTATTTAAGGTAAACGTGCATTCGTCAGTAAAACATATGTTTTTTAAAAATTCCCTATCAGTGTTTGCTCTTTCCATCATATCAAAATAAAAAACGCCTGCCGCCGTATTTTGTCTCTTCCATGCACAATAAAACTTCCAAGTCGGTATCATTTCTTGCATCTTCTCTTTGTTCCTGCCTTGCTTCACATCTGCAGTTATTTATTAGGGTACCTTTGGTCTCAAATCTCTGGATATTCCTTGCGATTGTAGATTTTCCAGGTATCGGTCTATTCGGATACAGAGCAGCAAACATGTCCGACACCTTTTGATAACTATTTCCTTGACAATACCATTTAATCATCAATACTTTTTCTTAGGTAGTGTAATTCATGGCTAATATTTTCGATGTAGGTATGAGTTTTTAATAATAATAATAAAGCACTAAATAGATAAGTTTCTGAAATGACAACTTCATTTGACAGTTATCTTTTACCTTGACTGGTGCTCATAAGTAAATACAGGGCCATAAGAAAGGAGAAATAATTAAAAAGAAATCGGCGATAACTCGTAAACCGGCTAATCAAAAATATCTAAAGTTATTCTTTTGAATGTGGGTTTTAGTGCTCTTCAATAAACCTAAATAGAATTATTCTCTAAAATAATTAGGGAAGCCAATAATTGGACCCCATTAAAATTTACATGGGATTTCCTATGTCCCGCTCGACGATGCCACCCCAACACCCGGTATATATTCTTCTATTATTTCCTGTGTGCCATGTTAAAATGTATTTTCTTTGCACTTGTTTGTTGTACATTACTTTAGTTTATGATAAATTCATTTGAAGGTGCACTTTATTGCTGGCTTTATTTAGTTCATTAATTTATGCTTGTAGTTCTTCAAGACTATTGGCAATTAGGACTATCTCATCAGTGATTCTTAGATGGTTAAGATATTCTCCATCTATTTTTAATCCTTTGTTGGCCCAGTCCAGTTGACGGAAGATCTTTTCTAGTGTTGCTTTAAATAGCTTTGGGGATATCGCGTATCCCTGTCGTACCTTTTGCCAGTTTGGGAACTCTAGGCTTGTTTTATATAGCATTACTCTTGTTTTGGCTTCTTTGTATATATTGGCGAGAGTTTCTACCACCTGTTAATACCCTGTTTTGCTAGGGCTCATTAAACACTCCTTTATTGTTAATTAAATAATTAAAAACAGAAAGGACATCATAGGAGTCATTTTGAATTTTATATTTCTTCTTTCTTTTATAATTGGTTTTTAACACAAACAAACTTTACAGAATTAAAAAAAAAGAAAATCGCGGACGGTCCGCTCCATCTGAAAGCGCTGTTAATAAAACAATATTAAGCTCATTTATTTCTACTTTTAAAGAATAATTAATATATGTCAATTTTGTGATTTTTACTTATGATTTCTTACCTAATGGTAACTTTATCTACATTTCTGTCGAACTTTTATTGAATCGCCCAGTATATATTATCCAGTCCATAGGAGACATAAAGATTAAACAAAAATTACATAAAACATGTTGTTCGAAACATTTAATCTTGAAGACACTACCTCCTATCGTAAAACAATTCTAAAAATAAGTTTGGGCGATAACAAAGTCGTACTGGATCGAAAATATATTTTTTAACTCTGATGAGGTCAAAGTACCACAAAGAGTAATGTGTAAATGACCAACTAAATGCACAATGGGAAATATTCCATGTAGCTTTTTTGAACAGAGAATTTATTTATAAGATATTCCGTTATCAAATGTAACCTAATAAACCTAATAAATATATTTATAGTTAGCGTCTCCATGTAAAAAGGTCGCTGTGTATTTATAGAATCGTCTGAAACATGACTTGCAAAAGAAGAAACAATTTTTTACCTTTTCTGTTAGATTTTCTAATTCTAGGGGTTATTAAAACAAATTTCTTTCACTAGGAGATGCGAGAACTTGTCGTTGGTGTATAAGCTTCTAGTCAGGTGCTAGGGGGGAGGGGAGTGCTCAATTGAGGAATTGACCTCAAACCCAAGGAGGCAATAGAGAAAGAGAGATATACTCTCTCTTATAGACCCAGGATAACACCGCTATCAGGTCTAAGGAAAGACCAAGTTAAAGAGTTGGAGAAAATGGAGACAGATCCTCCAGTATCCACCTCAAGGGTACCTTAGCCGGAGACAAGCTCCTCGACTGTGAAGGACATGGAGGGCTAAATCCCAGCCGTGGAAGGGTGTATACGTATACCCTCGTAGGAGATAGATGTCCACTCCTCGGAGGATGAACTGTTGTTCAAATCCCCATGTATGATGAGTTGGAGTGGTCAGAATTAAAATGGATCAAATCCAGTTTCCTACTATTTTAAGATAATCCTCTTTAAACGTTTAGAAAATATTGTTTTTTCTAGTAGAAAAATGAATCAAGTCATACTTCACGCATTAAGCAACTATAGCTGTTTCTGTTTGATTTCTGAATATTCTGTTGATTTCTTTCAAAAGTGAACTGGAACAAGTTTATAAAATAACGCTGTGCGCAATTTTAACACACGTTTTAAAGTTTAGAGCTAAAAAAATCTTTTTTTTTTTTTGATAAAATGGATGACAAAAAGGTTACGAGACAACGTTTATTCGACGTCGCAGAAGCTTCTACTTTGCTGTAGTACTAGTCCAACGTCGGCACAACGTTATAAAAACGTTTAAATTTATTTTAATACCCAAGGTAGGGAGCTAACTATTTTTTGTAACTAATCCAACGTTGTGTTTAGTGAACATGTGGTCGCAAGTCGTGAAAATGCTACTTGGGGATCTGAAGCACAAGTAAGAAAAATCTTATCATTTCATATAGACGTAACGTAACACACTGTAAAAGGCAACACATGAAAGATCTTCTTCCCTTTATCCCGCCTATTATCATAACTGTCATAAAAATCAAAGAAAACACTATTGATAGGCAATGTGAAGTCTACAAATCCCTTAATGACGAAGAAGAATGTACCGATGAACCAATTTATATCTAAAATTTTAAATATTTTCAGAGATAAAATGGTTCAAGTCCAAAAAGTATAAACAAACATTCTTAAAAATACCCAAAGTTTTATTTTAAGTTACTTTAGTTTTCAATTATATAATTTTAAATATAATAAAGCTTTGTGTGAAGTTACTTCTCCAGCTTGTTTTATGTCAATTAAGTGACATTAAAAAAAACTTTAACTCTCATTTTCTCCATAATTATCTTCTAGGACTCGATCAGTTCACTTCTGTACCCCTCAGTTATAACTCAAGAGGGGGACACAATAGATCTTTAAGGTCGCAGTGATTAACCCCCCTCCCTAACTCATTCTACATTCTACTTAACTTTTGTTTGAAAAAACACTTACCGATGGTTTTTATGATGGAAAAATCGTCAATTTCGTAGCTGTCTTCCTTATTGTTGTCTTCAGAATCCGAATAATCCTCGCTGTTCTCATCCGTATTCGTTCTAGTAGATGAGGAATCCAAGCTGTCGGTACTTTCCTGTCGACTTCTAATTACGCCATTAACCCACTCGGCCATAATTGCTATCGACGGCGATATATATCTGCAAAAACGTTTATATTTTAAAAGACCATTCGCCAAGAATAGCTATTACTTTCTACAATCATTAAACATACTTGTAATAATTAAGTATCTCTATAAACGCTCTTATAGAACTATAATAGTTATGAATGATACAAGTTCGATACGAACATCATAATGAAATGCGTGTAACGTAAAGTTACACAAGTTTCATTATAAAGTTCGTATCGATTTGTATCATTCAAAATTTAATTTACGACGCGACACGAGGGATGATCCAAAGAGATTTGATTTAATTTAAAATATCAGAGATATCCTCATAAAAATTAAAATTCAAAATTATCAGGTGCCCCACGGGGGTGTCACTTGTATGGGAAAACAGGCAACAGTCAAATTTAAACGTGCCAGGACCAACGACAAAGAAAGTAACATCTGCCAGGCATTGGCTTTCTTTGTCACTCACATTGCTTAAATCATGATACCGCGGCCATTTTGCCAACAAAGAAGCTGGCCGGGCTGTCCTGGCAAGTGATTTGAGACAATTTTGCTTTTTTACAATATTAAATTACCATTTGGATGTATTTAATGCGATTATTCAGTTAACTGGTAAGTCAGAAATTACACACAAATACTTTATTCGTAAATACAACTAAGATGTAAACGTATTTTTGTATTTTTAGATTTCAACTTTTGCAAAGACCCGCCGATAGAACTTGCCTGGCAGCGTACCTGTTTAACTAAACGTATTATTTCCTGATAATAATATCAAAACACGTAAGTACCTGTATAATTTATGATGAAAAATGATTTTGATTATGTTTTATATTATTTAAATACTTTCTAACCTCAAATAATAGTAAGATCCTTGTTTATATCGCACAGCCCGTTCAAAACTGTATTGTCTCCAAAAAATGTTTATACAAAACAAACAATTATTAAAAAAACAATGTCCTTTTAATCTGATTTATACTTCAGAAGGATGCCAGTAAAATTTTATTAAATCAACATTATATTATTTGGCCGTTAATCTGCAAAAAGGAGCATATTGCCTTTACTTAAATTTTCTTTTACTTCTCCGACAATGTTCTCTATATTCTCTATTTTGAGTTAGTAAACTTTTGAACGGGATGTGCGATATATAAAATACATAATATTTCCAAGGGTATGATCTGATAAAAGTATTTTTTGATTGTTTATGCACGTTGGCTTGGTTTATGTTTTATTCAGCTTATATTTATTTGGTATAACAGTTTTTTTTGCCTTTTTTGTGATTTTTTGTGATATTAGTGTGTTATCATGATACAGGTAGTTGTATCCATAGTGCCTTATGCATATTACTTACCTATTATATACTTATGTATTATCAGTAAATAGATGATAATATACTGCTAAAATGTCTTTTTAATAGTATGTTTATCTTTCCAATTCACTAGTAATTTGGAAAATGTATTTTGAACTAATTTAAGTCATTAATTGATCATCTTTCTTTTTCAGGTTCCGGGATATTCTTTTTCATTGTTAAAAAAATATATATATTTCAATATTATTGTAATATAAATCGCAGCTCTAAAAAATAAACGAATGATATTGTTTACTAATGTGTAATTTATTTACTATGAATTTTCTCTGAAAATAATAAGCCTTTAATAATATCATTGATTTGCTGTGTAAAGTTAATAGACATATTTTTAAATACATTAAATTATATTAAAGTAATAAAACATATGTTTATTAACTTTAAACAGTAAGTCAGTGATACTTATAAAAATATTTTTTTAAAAATTTCCCCTCTTTTAAGCCCCGCCCCTCCAATTCCCCTCAATTTAGCTAGTACTGCCAGGCGACACCAGGTGGCGTCTGTTTCCATTTTTTAACATGAAGTTAGCATTTCTTTAATGTACCTATTCTCTGAGGTGCCCATATTAGTCGACGCCGTGGTAATCGTGCTTGTTGATTGTTTCCATTTTGACTTTGACAACTCAATTATTGATGTTCAATTTTGTGTTAATATTAACATGGGTGATTCTGATTCTAAAAGTGTTCCTTCGGATATTGAGGGCATTGCGCAAAACGTTGTCGATTCCTTACTTCCCGAAAAATCAAGACAAACGTACGAGCAAGCCTATGCAAAACTTGAAGATTGGTGTAAAGGGAAAGGAATCAAGAATAGTAGTAACGAAAAGATTGTCCTGGCATATTATGAACATCTTTCAAAACATAGGAAGGCTTCATCACTTTGGGTATATTATTCCATACTACGTTCAGTTATATCAGTGAAGAAAAATACAGATATTAGTAAGTACGTCCATTTAATTACATTTTTAAAAAGAAAATCGGAAGGCTTTCGGTCAAAAAAATCGAGAATTTTAAGAAAAGAAGACATAACTTGTTTTTTGTTGGAAGCCGATTATAAAACTTATTTCCTGACAAAAGTTTCATTGATAGTGGGACTTGCGGGAGCCTGCCGGCGTATCGAGTTGACAAATATGTAGCTGCAAAATGTTAAAGATGAAGGACAATGCATTCATGTCATTATTCCATTTACGAAAACAAAGATATCACGAGATTTTTTATAACGAAAGGGAATGTTGAAGGAATAAATATGGTAGAAATGGTTCGAAGATATATAGCTATGCGGCCAAGCAACACAGACCGTTGGCATTAATACTTTAGGGAAAATGCCGTATAAAATAGGATTGTTCCTAAGTCTTCCAAATCCACAACAATACACTGGACATTGTTTCCGTAGATCGTCTGCATCGTTGCTTGCAGATTCAGGAGTGGATTTATTAACCGTTAAAAGACATGGTGGTTGGCACCCTAACACAGTGGCAGAGAGCTATATAGAAAATTCCAAAGAAAATAAGAAAACAGTGTCATGTAATATTTTGGGTAACATTTCTGGCAATGATGGGTCTTCAACAAGTTCAAGCACTCAGGAAATAAATTTACTTTCTAAAAATTCAACTCACCTGTCATCGTTTGGAATTAATTTAACCAATTGTACTGATATTATAATTAATGCTTACAGTAAATAAACGTATTTAGGTACCTTTTTTGTTTGTTTCTTATTTTAAAATTTGCGTGTTATTATGAACACTATACATAGCACTAGTGCTATTATGCAAGTGTCATAATGACATTGTCGTAGATTATATGTCTTTATTTATTTTATTTATTACTATTATCTGGGATAGATATAGGAACGTATTTTAGGGGAGGCCCAAATAAAAATTAATGTAGAATATACTCTTTAGAGCGCCATTTTAACCCAAAAGCTTAATATTTAACTCAATTTATAGATTTTAGGAGGGCCTTGGCTCCATGGGCCACCAATGGGATCCACAAAAATATACTGACTAAAATAGGTAATATGAGTGTTATACTGTTATTCAATACATAACATTCTTGAGTTGTTATTTCAAAGTTGTTTTTGAACTACCTGGTATTGTTCAGAAACTGATTAACTACCAGTATCTATCAACATCTATAATTTATATCTATATCTAAAAGAGTGTAATTATTACCGAACAAATATTATGATTATGTCATACATTACACATTCAAACTATTCCACATGTGGGGTTTGTTAAAGAGAATGAAAACAAATAGACTATTTTTCGAATGTTTCATTTTGTATAAATATCATGTATTAAAAATAATGAATAAAATTATTATAATAGTTGAATAAATGATCAGAATTCATGATCAGTAAAAAATCAACTGTCTTGGTTAAACAATTAATAAAATATTTTAATATACAGAGTGTACCTTAATGACATGCTCATATTCAAGGAGGCGGTTCTTGGACCAATTCTAAGAAAAAAACTTCATATAAATATATGTCCTAAACATCTTAGCTTTTGAAATATAGGGTGGTAAAATTTTCTATTTTCTTTTAAAAATATATCTGATGTTATACTTGATATGTACACGCGTTCCATGCATCAAAAATGCTTATTTTGATATACAAAAACACTGTTTTATTTCTTCATTTCCTTCCGCTCTTTCCAGCCGATGAAGAAATGATTTCGACACAAGTCACTGCATGAAGTAAGTCAGTGGTGTACCACTTTTTTCACCAAAAAATATTCAATGTAAAACCCGTATGGACGGCCCTGGTTGAAATAAATAAAAAAAATTACACCAAAAAAGGTATTTTGATCGATAGAACATGTGTATCGAGTTTCATAAAGATATCTATAATAAAAATCAGACTTTTATGAAAAGAAGTTTATTTTTTAAAAAATGTTACCACCCTGTATCTCAGAAATTAAGACGTTTAGGACATACAGTCATATAAAGATGTTTCTTAAAATAGATTCAAGAATCACCCCCTCAAATATTAGCACGTCATTAAGGAACACCCTGTATAAAGAATCACATACATAAAGTATTTTGTGATTTGTAATACTAATAATAAAATATAGTTTTTTTAGATTTCCTTCTTTTAACAAATAAAAAGTTATTTATAATTATTATTTTTACTATATGAATTAATTTTCGTAATATATTTAATTTAGTTACTTTTTCGGTACAAAAGAAAGTTAGTCATATTTTTAAATTTCATAATTTTTTTTTTCTAAATTTCATAATTTTAGTCATAATTTTAACTATTGTATATATTCTTAGTATAGAGATATGAACTATAAAGTAAGGAATAGTTAGTAACATTGTAAAACTAGTAATATTTACCTAAGATTACTCTAGAAAGTTAAATATAGAAATTTAAGATTGGAAAAACGATATGGAACAATTTTAATATTTAGCATCTTGACAGATAAATTTAATAAGCTTACAATGCAGATTTATTTAATATCTAGAATACTTCATAATTACTATTGATAAATTAAGTGGTTTTTAATTAATATAAAAGATAAAAATAAAATGTCTAATTTCGATTAAGAAATAATATATATTCTTTATAAATTTGGGCAAAATAAAAAACATATATAGGATCAAAAAATAGTATAAAAATTAAAAGAAAAATCACAAATAAAAGTTCTTTATTAAAAAAATATCTTGTAAGAACTGAATTTATGGTTTAAAATTTTCTTAAGATAGGAAATAGAATTATTGAACAAAATTACGTAATAATTTTTATAATTTGCACTTTTTTCAGATACAGAAAATAATACTTTATATTTATTATCAACTATATTATAAGAAAATATAAATTCTTTATAAAAAGAAGAAATAGTAAAAATAAAATAACATCAAAATTTTTCCTATACAAAACAAGATATAAAAAAATAAATTATAAAAAACCGATAAACAAACCAACTAAAAAAATTAAAATAATTTGAATTTTTAAAATATCTGAATGTTTTTTGTCTCAAAAAAATAATGAGAAAAAAATAGATATATTATTCACTCCAAAATACCACACAAAAATGTAACAGCAGTATTTTTAGAGATAGAGAAAACAAACATTATTAAAAACAGAAAAAGTTAACAAAATAAAAAAAATAATTTGAATTTTTAAAAATCGTAAATATTTTTTTGCCTCAGAAACTTAATGAAAAAAAATAGATACGATACATAAATATATGACACAATTTTTTTTTGATAGAACAAAGATACAAACCAAACAAAAATAAAGAATTAAATAGGCACCTACCTTCAAAAGAAATTAAGTTGAGAAACTGTAAATGCACTCAAATATGATTGAAAAAATATAAGTACCGAAAAACGAAAGTTCGCTCTGTCTATTCGGTATTGTAGTACCGAAAACGCGTGTTGTAAACACAGAAAATATCTGCCGACCGTTTTGTTCGTACCGCCACAATATCAGTCCGCTTACTGACTGACTAGCGTAAATCGCGATAACTGTGGAAGCTGTTACTGAAGGCGCACTAATATTGCAGGAAAATAGCAGGATGCTGCTATTCGCCTATTTTTGATACCGCTTGCTAAAATTAGTCACTATAGAATGATGTGATTAACCCTTAACCGTAACACTAATGCTGATACGGAGTCTCACAGACTCCGTTATATAAAGTGTTTTTTTAAAGCAAAACTAGTTCTCTGTGGGTTTAATGTTTTTTAATGTAACACCACTATTTCTCTTTACCTTTCATGCGCTGTTATACAGGGTGTCCCATTATTCCGTGGATATAGAATAGAAAAGATGGAATAATTAATTAGAAGAAAATATAATTTTTCAGATATTTTAAAAACCGTTATTCCGATTTGAATGAGATTTTCGGTGTCTATGTTTTGCTAAATGCTTTAACATTTAACTTTGACAAAAATCAAAGTAACACACCCCCACCCCTACATAAATTTTAGTGTAAATATTTTCCAACCTCACCCATGTCCGATTTTCTTTCTGTAAAATGGTCCTTGTAGTATTTACTACATTTTTGTCGCTTGTAAAAATACGCCACATCGCATAGTTTTTGTAAAAAAAATCCCTAGCGACTCATAGGAACACTATGAGATCTGGTAATAATAGTAATAAAAATATCACCGGTGAAGCTCTGGGGAAACCCCCTAGCGACACTGGGAACAGTTAACAATGAAAGTTCCAAGGGGCCAAACCCAAAGAGAACTACAGGAGAGGTGGCTGACACTTGCGTGAGACCATCCTCCGCAAGTGGCATACAAGCTACCACCTCCTCCAAGGGTCGGGAGCCTACCTCCTACCTCTAGACCCAACAGACGACACAAGCTACCGTTTCGTCTACCCGGCCTGGGTCGTAGCTCCTCGACTGTGAGGGACACGCGTCTCCGTAGGAAGTCCTGGGACTGTATGATGAATTATAACTCAAGAAAGGGGGACACAATAGATCTCTAAGGTCGCAGAGATTAACCCCCCTCCCACTTATTCTAAATTCTAATATGACACATTTATTGAAACTCCCCAATGCAAGATAAGTTAGAAAAAATGTTTTTTGGTAGCAAACAAATTCAAAATTCGTTATTTTCCTTGAAAATTTCTAAATAAATATATATAAAAACCGCTTTTTACTTCCGGAAAATATTACAAACCAAAAACTAAATACTAAATTGTAATAATTATTATATACCAGCTATGTTCCCGAAAGTATCAGACAATAATTCTGACAACATTTCTTTGAAGACTTAAGAAAAATTGTTTTTATATAAATGAGACTCACACGGGACATGTTTTCCTTGATTTTGGTGCATATATTTTTAGCTTTTATTATATCAGCTTCATACTCCGTCTTCGACTGCTCTATGATAGTTTCTTCATGTTTCTCGTTCAATTTCTTGTCCACTAGAGGTTAATTGGTCGCTACGTAAATTTCGTCTCCAATTAAAACACTGAATTTCCTTAAGAACTCCTTTATTCAGTCGTAGTACTCAGAATTACAGAAGTACGACCCGATATTACAAATGACGCACCAACCTAGAGATCTTTCGACAATTTGATCGAAAGCTACTAGATCGCTAGATCGGATTGCTCGTGTATCACCTAATGTATAAAATATAATTTGCAATATTTAATGGTACCTATACATTTTTAATCGACTAGTGATTAAACGTTTTATAAATATCATATAAAATGATAATTATGTACCTTTAAAAAATTTCGTTATAGCCGAAATAGCCCCAATTATGACCCCACTGGCAAAACCGGTGATTAAAACTATGCTCGCTACCAGAGTTGAACTGATCTAAAAAGTTTTAAGTTGGAATAATAAATTATAATATCAGTTAGACCTTCTGAATATATCAAAATAGTTACTTTTTTATTTTTATTTTTAGAATTTTCATAAATTATACTTTGTGGAAATCACTGGAGGAAAGCACTGTTCATTAAAATGTTGTATCCTATGTTATAGGGCTTGTTTCTCTATACAATTTCCTGTCTCACAATGTACCGTTTGTGTCCAGGAAGGGTTCATATTTTCATAGATGTCGATTTTCGAAAGAAATCGGTACATTTATTTTATTTCGTATATTTTTCATATTATTGATTTTATGGAAAGCACTGTTCATTAAAATGTTGTATCCTATGTGATAGGGCTTGTTACTCTCTACAATTTCCTGTCTCACAATGTACCGTTTGTGTCCAGGAAGGGTTCATATTTTCATAGATGTCGATTTTCGAAAGAAATCGACATCTATGAAAATATGAACCCTTACCATTTATTTTATTTCGTATATTTTTCGTTTTATTGATTTTATGGAAAACACTGTTCATTAAAATGTTGTATCCTATGTTATAGGGCTTGTTTCTCTCTACAATTTCCTGTCTCACAATGTACCGTTTGTGTCCAGGAAGGGTTCATATTTTCATAGATGTCGATTTTCGAAAGAAATCGGTACACTATTTTTTTTATTTCACATCATTTTCAACACTTTTAGAATATTAATTAATTTAATTAATTTATATACTTGCTATTTAAACTGGTGTATTTGTATATACCAGTTGTTAACAATATTCTCAGATGGTGGCAGCACCGGCGGAGAATGCACCAAGCCTATAGGTACTATATCTTCATTTTCATTAATTCACACGGTAGAAATTAAACAGCTTAGAAATTAGACATTTTATTATCGATACTGTTAAAATTATTAACAGCATATACCAGAACCGACAAATTAACACAACTGATCATCATTCCCCAATGTTCTCTAAATTTAGTTAGCCGCATATACGAAAACAGGAGCCTAGCGATAAATTTCAAAAGATAATAAAACAACGCAATTGTCAGGAAGCGCACACCGGCCTATAATAATTATTTAAATTTAACGTAGGCTTTAAAAAATGGTGGAAACTTCTGGAGGCCCATTTTTTCCTGTCAAGACTGTATGACTACATCCAGAGTAGAGTGGTGATATATTTTCGGATATTTGACGTCAGTTCTGTTACTGACGTATTCGATGAGTCGTATTAAATAACAACTTCTTTATTCCAATTTCCTGTAAAATAACTAAGACTAACTAAAGAAGTAATTTATTTTTTTATTATTAAAGTTGCTGACCCAAGTAGCATTTTCACAACTTGCGACCACATGTTTACTAAACACAACGTTGGTATAGTACTACAACAAAGTAAAAGCTTCTGCGACGTCGAATAAACGTTGTCTTGTAACCTTTTTTGCTTAAGTGATCTTTAGGTGATTCGCGGACAACGTAGTTACAATGTTGGGCAATAAAGAGTTTTCCGACGTCACTTTCAGGACCTATTCCAATGTTATGCAAACGTCGTCTGTTTTACTAATTCCAACGTTGTTCAGATTTCCTTATTCTTACGTTGGTAGGACGTCGAGCCACTACCTTTTTGCAACTGTATTGAACCATAACCTTAAATCTTAAATTTTCATTTCATTGTTCTGTTCAGTCAGACAGTTCAGTGCTGTTTTTGTTTTTATAAAAAAAACTTACCAAAAACTTAATTAAAATGGGACATAAAAAAGGTACATATAAAACTAAATTTAAATATACATCGACATATTGCCGATACTTTATACACTCCCTCGTTTATTTAGAATATAGAGGGCGGCAAGCTAGACTCTAGGATGACTAAATTAGGCAATCTTGCGACTAGTATACTACCTGTTAAGGCTGAATTGCGACTTTATTAGTCCAGTATGCGACTACTCGAACTACTCAATCTTAATCTCCAAAACAACAAAGTGGAAGCCGCCATGTTGTTGAATAAGAAAATGTTTCGTTCCTCAAATAGCAATTCTTTCTTTTTGTATACATTAACTTGAAATATTTGACCCTAAACAACACACGGAAACAATTTTTTCGACTACGAATAAATTATTCTCAGTTTACTAAAAAGAAAAATTCAAGAAATTTTTTAAAACCTCTTTAATTTTAAGGCTCATTAGTATTTTTCAAAGTAGAAACAATACATTTATCAATAAAGTTGTTTGCGTTTAACTTTTTTGCCTTGGGTAACGAGTTACAGAGTCGGTTAAAGTGTTTCAATAATTCGTAGAATGAATCAATAATTATGATCTTCAAACATCCTCCACACTTAAATATTTTTGTTTTGTTTTCCCTTACTGCCACCTGGCATATGTCTCTAACTAAATCATAAAAATAATATTTTTACTATAATTATCCCAATTTAGGATAAAACGCGACTTAGACGCCATATTATTATAGTTTTGTATTTCTGTGAATTAGGATTTTAAACAACGTTGCAGTTTGTACTAAATAAGGCTGCTAGCCAACGTCGGCATCCAACGTCGCGTCGATTCGACCCAAAAATTATTCTCCAAACAAGTGCAGACTAGGGTTGACACGAGGTTGTGCCGACGTTGCGCTCCGACGTTTGGTCGCGTGACACAACGTTGTCCCGACGCCGACGTCCAAATGCTGCTTGGCGATTGTAGATTGTTAGGTTATTCAACCATTTCCAATTATGGTGTAGCCTCCCTCACATACTTAGATACTTTCTTTGTAGTTGGGACCATTGTTGTTTATTGCTGGCTCTGCGGGCCAAAGTTATCCCTACTAATTTCCTGATATCATGGTCCTATCTCAGGTTTGGTCTTCTTCTAGGTCTCTTAATTCCTCGTGGGTACCATGCTGTAATTTGTCCGTCCTTCATGCCAGGTGTCCTGCCCATTGCCACTTGAGGGATTTGATTCTGTGGATGACATTTATTACCTGGGTCTTTTTTCGTATCCGCTCTATTCTTTTACGGTCTTTCTTGGTTATTCCCAGCAGTTTTCTTAAATGTCCCTTTTTGAATGTCCAGGTTTCGCATGCATAGATCATGACTGGTAGTACACATTGGTCGAATGTTTTTGTCTTTAGATAAAGATAAAGTGGCATTCTAGATTTTAATATGACTGAGTTTCTTCCATAAGTAACACATATCCATACCCCTACTGTGGAGCTTGGTAGTGGATGAA